ACCTCCCTTCCCCATGCACGAATTTCATGCACCAGGCCTCTAGTAATTACATACTCACAACTGTAAACCTACTTTTGCCCACCTTGTATTATAAATGCATTGTTACCCATGAATGGAGATATCACAGTGACAGAGCCCAGGGCCCTTACAATGACAATGAGGACTTTTTAGAGATCTACATTCAGGTTTTCAGTGACTACTTCCCTGCAGAAACCACCAGTTATTTCTCCCTTTGCTTATACATCTAAGAAGTGAAAGAATGAACTGGAGATTCTTATGGTTAAACTAGAGGCCTGGTGCACGAAATTTGTGCACTCGGAGGGGTCCCTTAGCCCAGCCTGTGCCCTCTTGCAGTCCGGGAGCCCTCGGGGGATGTCTGAAAGCCCATGGGGAGCGGGCCTAAGCCAGCAGTCAGACATCCTTAGCGCTGCTGTGGAGGCAGGAGAGGCTCCCGCCACCACCACTGTGCTCGCCAGCCGTAAGCCCGGCTTCTGGCTGAGCAGCACTCCCCCTATGGGAGCGCACTTATCACCAGGGGAAGCTCCTGCATTGAGCATCTGCCCCCTGGTGGTCAGTGCAGGTCATAGCGACCAGTCATTCCTCTGTTCAGTCGATTTGCATATTAGCCTTTTATTATATAGGATTGATCTTGCTTTCTCATTCATTGGTCTATTTAATAAGTTTCCAACTTAGTCAAAGAAGGTATACATACCTTTTTGAGCAAGTATTTTAAACAGATTTTTGCTATTCAAAACTGTCTGAATTTCCTCATTCATTTAAAAAAATTCAAAAGAAGAAAAATTACTATGAAGCAGCAACATTAAAACCTCCTCATAAGTAGAAAAAGAAAGCACTATAATTCCACAAATATTCGACTCGTGTTTTGATTTAATTCTATAGATTCAGTTCTGCATTCAACTTCTCATTTTGGATAAAATACTTGGATAGAGTCTGTTCTGAAGGACATGGGACTGGATGCCAGCTGGGTGCCCTTCCTGACAGACTTAGATAATTCCATATCTTTTGTGTGTGTGTTTTACATTGTTCCCACATAAAGAGAACAACTTCAGGAAAAATTATCAGAAAAGATAAGTCAGGAAATAGGGCAATTTGGGGAGCTAACTCATGGAACAATCATTATTTTTGAAAGAGAAGTTGGGCAATATTTTAGCTGATAGCTTAACATAGCTAATAGAAAAGTAAATGAAAAGCAATTGCAATCACAAAGATCTCCCAGCTTGTAAATTTATTTCACCAAACCATTTTGAGGAGTAACAGGAAGCAAGAGCTGATACTTAAGTACTGAGTCAAGGTAATCAGTATTTGAATACAAGACACAATTATAATGTGAGTCACTCACCCTTCCTCTAGGACCTGGATACTCTCCATTTTGGTGGTAAGCGTGGGTCTTTCTGCAGTTTCTGCTCTCTCTTCGTTCCTAACAGTGAGGCTGTAATGTAGCATAACACTTTATTTTGTCTAGGGAAAACCAATTATTGAAAGAAAAGAAAAAATTTGCAAGAAAACATTCCACGGAAGAATTTTACTTTCAACGATGTGAGAATATTTAGTGTACAAAAAGAGCAATGCCATTTTTAAATGATGGGTGAGCCCCTTTCAACTAAGGGAAAGAGAATAATTATTTAATCAAATTACAAAATAAATCAGAACTCAAAAATGGATACCATTATACATTCTGACTTCATCCTTACATAATTTAAATTGCTTAAAATCCCTGAGATACCTACATGATTATATGCTTTGATAGATTTTCCCCCATGGATACCATCCTTCCTCCATCCACTCAAGTTGGAACTACTGGATTTATATTTGACTCTGTTTTTGCCCTTTCACTCTAGTTAATCAATTTCTGATGTCTCCAGAGGTGCTGAATAGGAGAGCATTGGATGAGAGGAATCTGTGTCTCTGGACATAAATTTAGGAATTCTATAGGATTACAGGAGCCCGGGCAAACCCATGCACAGTAGTTCACAACAAGACTAAGAATGGTCTGATTCAGGCTCACTGTAACTGAGTAGCACCTTAAGGTGGAAGATCCAAGGTTCTAGATGCAGACTAGACGTAATGAGGGAGATTTGGGGCAGATACTAAGAAGCAGGTGGGAAGGATGACTTGGAAAAGTTAAGCTACTGGCTTAGCAAACTGATCCCTTTATGTAGAAGCTGAGGAGCTTCACGGGAGCCTGACAGATGGCAAAAGAAGTTCAGATAGCATCTTTTTCTTTTATTCATTCGTTCATTTTTCCAACAAGAAGATATGGGAACTATGATTTTCTAGTACCTGTTATATGCCAGGCACTGTCTTTTTATCTTTTATTATCCCCATTTTATAGATGAGCGGGGAGCCTGTCAGATGGCAAAAGAAGTTCAGATAGCATCTCTTTCTTTTATTCATTCGTTCATTTTTTCAACAAGAAGATATGGGGACTATGATTTTTCTAGTGCCTATTATATGCCAGGCACTATCTTTTTATCTTTTATTATCCCCATTTTATAGATGAGCAGTGAATCACAGAGCTGTGTGTTACATGGGCCCAAAGTCAGACACTAACTATGGGTATGGTTGGAGTTTGAACCTGATTCTGGCAAATGACCTTGCTGATTTTATTGAGTAACTATTATGAACCATGCTCCCTGACAGGCACTGACACAACGAACTACTCACTATGTGAATGAAGAAAAGGGTCACTCAGTATGGTTGTGGTGGAAAGAAGGAGTTTAGTGGGAGAAAGCTTCCAGCAAGTAGTTACTCTTAATCTGCAAAGTTTGGCGTTTGGCAAGGGAAGCAGAGACAATGTCTCGTGAATTCCTCCTTTCATCATCAGGTGCAGGGGTGAGGGTGGAGAGAATGGAGCAACGGGAAGAATTTAAGCAAGAGAGGCCACTCTACAACGGAAGTGAGACCAGCCAAGGACATTTAGTTGAGGAAGTTGACTACCTGGAGAAAAGTGAACCCAATAAGAATTGGAAAGGATTCTTTAGTCAGAAAAAGGACACATCAATGAAAAAACAAAACAAAACAAAAAGGGAATAAACCCAAGTTCTCTTCACACAATTTCCAGGGAGAGTGGCAGATTTATTGGTGCAGGACCATGGTGAGAAACAAGTAAACCTCCACAAAAGTGGTGTGGCCCCAAGAGTTTTGGGAAGCAGTAATGACAGCTGCTTGTTGCTCAGACACCCAGCAAGCTGAGTTGTGTCCTGCGGGAAGGCAGCCATTCCAGAGCCTACGGGTAGGAAGCCATGGGGATACAGCGAAGCAGGATTCAGGGAAGGCAGCAGTCTCTCTCTGTGCCAGGGGGTGGGGGCTGCGAATGTGTTTGCAGACTGAGGTAGCCTAGGAGACCTCAGTCCTCCCTCCGTGGTGCTGCACACAGGTCAGGGCTGTGTTTAGGAGAGAGTCACTGACTTCTCAAAGTGTCTTTGACAGGAGTGCTTCTCTGTAACTTCATGTATTTCCAATACTTATGAAAAAATGGGTGGGAGGAGGTTGACATTATTCTGTGAAACTTCCTGGGAGAAATTAATGATGCCAAATGTGTAAAATATGAAAATTTTTGATACATTCTAGAACAGTGGTTCTCAACCTTCCTAATGCCGCGACCCTTTAATACAGTTCCTCATGTTGTGGTGACCCCCGACCATAAAATTATTTTCGTTGCTACTTCATAACTGTAATTTTGCTGCTGTTATGAATCGTAATATAAATATCTGATATGCAGGATGTATTTTCATTGTTACAAATGGAACATAATTAAAGCATAGTGATTAATCACAAAAACAATATGTAGTTATATGTGTTTTCCGATGGTCTTAGGCGACCCCTGTGAAAGGGTCATTTGACCCCCAAAGGGGTCACAACCCACAGGTTGAGAACCGCTGTTCTAGAAAGATCATATTTAAATAGGAAATGCTCATTCTGCCAAGCTTTACTGAGCTTATATGTGTGTGTGTGCACACACATCGTGAGGCACTATAAAAAGTAAAAGCTTGCTTCTGTTGATTAAATAATACATTTAAAAAATGCTCATTCTGCCAAGCTTTACTGAGCTATTATGTGTGTGTGTGTGTGTGCACACATCGTGAGGCACTATAAAAAGTATAGGGGAAAAAAGCTTGCTTCTGTTGATTAAATAATACATTTAAAATTATTTTTGTTACATTTTCACACAAGTGCAGTGTGACACACAAATGCAAGAATTCTCCATTTTATACAACATCTTAAAATAATTTTTTCTCTCTATGGTATCTGCTGTGGAATATTAAATCTGGAATCCACACGCATGATTGACAAGTTTCTGAACATGAATTCTGGCTCTCCTATCTGTTTCTGTGATATTTACAAACATCCCAAATGCCACCATATTAGAGTGATCATTATGAAATATTGGGTTGTGTTTATATCTTTCATCTCTTACAGATGGTAAAATATGGACTCACATATGTATTAAAGTGACTTAAAATAGACATTTAATAAGTGCTTAACTGTCCACTGTTTGCTCCATTTCTTGATATAATATTGGACACAAAATAGTCCTGTAGAGAGAAACTGACAAGTGTCCTGTTAATCAACCTGCCAATTCTTGAAAAATCAGTTTCAAAGCTTTATTAGTCAAGAACCACTGGTAATGCCATTTTAAGATAAAAAGAAATGGAGAAAATGATAGGAGAGTTGCTACTAGACTGCCATTTATGTCTTGGGAATGACTAATGTCTGTCCCCAATTTCACTTAGTCTTGCTCTAAGTAATACAGTGGGTTTTGTTAAGATAAATTTGCTTTAGATCAACATATACATGTTGTATGTGCTTGAGAAAAGCTCTAAAAGAAAAACATCAAGTTTAACAATAATGAGGAGTCATGTGGAGACTTTTTACTTTTATAGTGTTTGTAACATTTTAAACGAACCTTTCTACGTTTTAAACAACTAAAGCTCTAAATAGAACAGGATGCATATACAATGCTCACAGTGGGAGTCTTGATCAAGCTGAAATATTTAAGGAAGAGGATGCCAATAACCTAGGCTAAATTTGCACCAATAAGCACTTACAATCCCATTAGACATTTTGGAGGATGGTGACTCTGAGACGGGAGAAATACAGTTGGTATGTTTCTGAAAATCATGAAATAATGCCTTCTTTGTGCATGGAAGGACTTTTTGGTTTGTTTTCAGGGAGTTTGGAGAGTGGGGTGAGGAAAACATCGCTGGCTGACCATTATAGCATTTACCTACTGATTTGTCATCATGGATACGTGCGGGGCCTATTTTGGAAGACAGTTCACTTTTGTAAGAGAAAACACCTGGTTCTTAGAGAGAACCGTTGAAATGGGCAAATAAGTGAAGACAGTGCAGTAGCCATGGTAACTCTGGGATAGAGGCTGAGCACAAAGCTACATGTTTGTACAAAAACTCAACTGAGGGATCGATAAGATGCCTAAGTTTAATGCACTATGACATGAAGGTTCAAGAAGGAACCCCTGTCATTGTTAAGGCATATATTCTAGTATGCTCACATCATGATTTCAGTGTTTCCTTTTTTATTTAACAGCTTCTGCCTCAAATTTCCCAGCGCAAAAGCGGGGTCAACACCCTTCAGCTTCTGAAAGAGAATCGGTAGGTCATCCTTGAAATGTTGCATTTTCCTCAATCAAAATATCACGGTGAAATAATACCACAGCTTTGTTTAGTGGTTGACAACAATTTATAAATACGCCTGAGGCACCTGGCTTATGCCACATTGCCTGGGTTGGAAATTCAAGATCACTGAGGCCATGGCCGGGTAGATCGGTTCATTAGAGCATCATCCTGATATGCCAAGGTTGAGGGTTCAATCTCTAGTTCGGGCACATAAAAGAAGCAAGCAATGAATGCAAAAATAAGTGGAACAACATACTGATGCTTCTTTCCCTCTCTCAACTCAATAAAAAAAGATCAATAAGACAGGCTGTGAAATCGAGGAGCTCTAGCAGGTGCGTACGCATCACGGGGCACTGCACTGAGAGCTAAGATAGAGGTTTGCACAGGGTGTTTTGCAGACACAGGCGCAGTATCTACAACTTTGCATGAGAGAACTGAGAAAGGCTTCCCAGAGGAGGTAATGATTAAACTGGATTGAACAATGAACCGGCATTTGCCGGATGGCGACTTGGACAAAGGGAGTTCCAAGTAGAGGGGGGAAAATGTGTGAAGGCTGGGAGTTGCAAAAAAAAAAAGAAATGTTATAAATGTAGGACAAAATGGAGAGACCAGATGTTTCAGGGTGGAAGCAGTACAGTAGAACAGGCAGTGAGGTGTAGTTATGTCATGGGCCAAGACCACAAGGAGGAGAACTCCTTTAAGATGATTCTGGCTTTCCATGCTTTATTTTCCTCATTTCTAATGGGGACAGTGGTAGTGCCCTACAAATATAGACCAAACCTCCTTTAAGATG